AAAGGAGCGCGCCTTCTCATAGTCCAGCGGGCGGAGGATATAAACATCCCCGTTTTCAGCGTTGACTGACACTTCGGGCTGCTCTTTGCCCTCCTGCCGCACCAGTGCGTAGTTCACACGGGCATTTATTCCTGCGTCGGCGTCCGTGGCCTTCATGCTGCCGATGCGGAGCATGGGGCTGTTGTTCTCCGTGACAGACATGGTGTAAATCTCCTGGGTGAACTCTGGAGGGTTGTCGTTCACATCCGATATCTGCACGAAGATGCTTTCCTGAGAGCTCAGCCGCTTCCTGCCCCAGTCTGTGGCTGTGATGGTGATGTTGTACTCCGCCGTCCTCTCCCTGTCCAGAGCCGCGTTTGTTCTCAGCTCGTAGTAATTATCAAAAGTGGGGGTGAGGCTGAACGGCAAGTCCCCGTCGATGGAACACTCCGTCCTGCCGTTGTCCCCGGAGTCCCGGTCCCGCACACTGAACAGAGCCACCACGGTGCGTGGCGGGGCGTCCTCGGGAATGGAGGCGCTGAGGGAGGTGAGCGCTATCTCCGGGGCGTTGTCATTCACGTCCAGGACCTCCACCTGCACTTTGCAGTGCGCAGACAGCCCTCCGCCGTCCGTGGCTTTCACCACCATAGTGTGGGATTTTGCTTCCTCAAAATCCAGTTTGCCCGCGACTCGGATTTCACCGGTGGTCTGGTTCAGCTGGAAGAGCTGCCGGGATCGCTCCGATGCCTGGGCAAAGGCATAATTCACTTCCCCGTTGGATCCTTCATCGGGATCCGCGGCAGCGACTCTGACCACCAGCTGCTCCAGGGGGCTGTTCTCAGCCAGGCGCACCTCGTAGGTCTCCCTTTCGAAGACAGGAACGTTGTCATTGGCATCCACAACCACGATCCGGACCTGAGCCGTGCCCGACCTGGGTGGTGACCCTCCGTCGGTGGCGGTCAGAAGTAAACTCAATTCCCCCTGCTCTTCACGGTCGAGCTGACGTTGTAGGACGAGCTCCACGTATTTTACGCCATTTTTTCCTGTTCCCTGAGAGAGGGAGAAATGAGGATTGGGCCCGAGGCTGTAGTTCTGCAAACCGTTAATGCCCATGTCCTTGTCCTGGGCACTTTCCAGGGGGAAACGGGAGCCAGGAGATGCTGTTTCTAGAATTTTTAAAACCATCTCCTTCTCCGGGAACACGGGCGAGTTGTCATTTATGTCGCGAACTTCCACCTCCCCTCGGATAAGCTGCAATGGATTTTCAAAGAATATCTTAAAGACGAGCGTGCAGGTATCGCTCTGCGGACAGATCTCCTCTCGGTCCAGCGATTCCTTTGCGGTCAGGACTCCGGTGTTTTGATTGAGTCGGAAAAGCTGCTCGTTCCCCTCGGACACAACGCGGGCTTTGCGAGCAGCCAGCTGGCTCAGAGGAACCCCCAGGTCCTTGGCGATATTGGCGACAAAGGAGTCCCTCTCCATTTCCTCCGGCAGGGAGTAGCGGAGTGTTTCAGCCCCGCTCTGACACATGCAAACACACAGAATAAACAAGATCACTTGCCTCTTTCTGTCTCCGCTCCGTCTCCCACAGGCTATCACTCTCCATAAAAGACATCCACAGTCCTCGGCGGCTCCCAGCATTTTTTAGCAGCGTCCGAAAAAGAGCGGTGTGGGCCAGCAATCTTGGGGTGAAGGAATCTGGAAGCCCCCGAGTGCTCGGACTCCTTTGCGAGCAGTTCAGCTCTCACGGCTTTTTGTCTCCCCGTGTCTGCAAAGCCGGGGCGGACCGAGGAACGCTCCGGTCCGCGGCCAACACCCCCACCCAGCGTCGGAAGGGGGAATATTTCCTCTCCATCGGGGCAGCGCTGCTGGCTCGGGGTTTGCTGATTGAGTCCCTACTCTTTGTGCCAAAGAGGAGAAAAATGATGAGGTGTAAAACTCTCCTCTCTCGTAAGTGGGATCCCTACCCATACACAGAGCGCTGCTCTGGGTATCACATCCCAGCTCGCAACCACGAACTCTTCATGCACAGCTTTTGGTTTGCCTTGTGTAGACACGGTAAGTTCCACCGCCACAGAAGAGATTTTCCTTCTCCTCTCCACTTGTTAATCAGCACAGGGCGATTAGTAGGTGTGGCGAGTCAGAGAAGCTATTGAAAGCGAGAGCTGGTGCCAGGGAGCTGACAAGGAATTGTCCTTAAGTAAAAGTTTCATTATCACCACAGCTCGCCATCACAGCAGGATGATAAAGCTGTCCTAGGACACAACATCTAATGCTGTATTTTTTCTTTCTGGGTATCACATCTCTCCCGACTTTTACACTTTTCTATGTCAAAAGATGCTATACTTGAAGTCCTGTATCTGCTTAAGGATGTATGGCCAAGAGCCGGTTAATACGAAAGGCAAAGAAACAAACAGGGAGCCCCTAATTAAACTCCGCGATGCACAAACGATAAGGAAGAGATAACGGAGACAATAGCAAAGATAAAGCTCTCATCACACTGATAGACGGGCCATTAAAAGAATAAGCTGTTGAACTCAGAGGTTCGACAGAAACTATGAAAGGTAGAGGTAAAGAAAAAAGTTCTAAAGATTCTCAAGGAATATCAGGAAAAGTGTCATGGAAAAGAACTAATTGATCATGAGGTATTTGAGGGGGGAACTCCAGGAATTTGCAAGGCTTATTGTGAGATGATTAGAGGCAGAATAAAACTCGCTAAGAGGGAGATGTCTACAGCAGACCTGTTATGAACAGCCGCGGGAAAACGGAGGTGGAAGGGGATATCAAGGGGTTCTGAACACATTCGCGTACGGTGAGGCAGAATTCGTGCCAGAAACCAGATAAAAAACTCAGTGTCAGGCAGGCATGGCTGGCTTCGAAGACAGATTTACACCTCGACTGCTTCTGCGACGAATGCACTGAGGATGTGCACAGCTGCCTGCGAGCCCAACTCAACCTTTCTCTTAGAGAATTAAAAATTGAAAGAGGGAACAAAATAGTGCTTGCATTATTTACCTGTGTCTCTAGCAGTTTTAGTTCGGATTTTACTATAAAAGAAACTAGGCTATTAAAAATTATTATTATTATAAAGTATCAGAACCCTCCTGGGTCTGGTACCTTTTCTTTAATTTCCCAGATGTTTCCCCCTTATTTTTGTTTGCTAAAAAAGGAGTGACGCTGTGAAACAATACTCAAGAAGTCAAGTCCTAGAAATTCTCTCATGTCTTCATTTGTTTTAGAGTAAAAACTTCGTGCCTGTATGAGTAAGAGAAAGAAACAATTAGGGTTGACTTCAGGATTCCCGGGAACTTTAGCTACTAAAAGATCTTGCACGAACGAAGTCATTTTCGGCGACTTCCTCTTATCACCCCTTGACTTGGATGCATTATAAGATCTAAACCACTGCAATACGTCAAAGGGCAGCTCCTCTTGTCTTCCCTTCCAGGGGCACGTCCATCTCTCGAGCTGCCATCATTATCACCAACAGAGAAGTCAAACCATAGGCCAAGCACAGCAGCAGATGTGCGGGGAAAGTGGCTTCTCTCGCAAAAACAACTGTGACACCTGTAATCCACTTGCTTTGTGCCCGTTTTTTCACCTCCGAGAGGGAAATGCGTATTTCCTTCTCCTTATCCTAATCTTCGGCATCACTGCGCAGCGGGGGGAAAGACACAGGCCGAGAAAAGCCTCCACATTTCCTACCCTGAGTGCAAGAGCCCAGTTATTGTTGCTGCCATCATTTCAGCAAGGAAATGGTTTCCTTTAGCTTCAGGTGTAAGAACAGTGATCCCTAACGGAGCTCTTGGCTGTAACAATATCTTTGCTCATCAGCAGATGCTGCCCTTCCACCGACGTTTATATTCTTTCAGAGTAAATCCAGAATTCTTTTGGAGAAATGAAAGAGGGTCACTTACCGTGCAGCACTAGAGAGCCAATGCTGGTGTTTTCCTTTGGGTCACAACTGTGAAATGGATGGGTATTAATTTAAAAAAAGAAGTTTGAATACTGCCAGACGGAGGCACGCTGTATTTTAGGACATAAGAAAGAACTATACCCATAAAAAGAAAGATTTGCATCAATGTGCCAAAGAATTCACGTATCTCCTCAGGTATACAGTGGTATTGCAGGCTTCCTCATCTTTTGTTTTACTGACGACATCTTTATCCTCAGAAGAACCAAAAAAGCAGTTCTATTCACTCTGTCATTTAAAACTTCATGCTAGAAAAGCATTACAGCAGCATATCATGCTCAGTTCCTGGTATGGCTTCGTGTTTCAGAACACAGCAGTGCTAAAACAAAATTCTGACCACACTTCTGAAGCAATTTCGATTTCCAAAATCCTTCCTGGTCCTTCATCTGGGAATTCAGATCCGCTGAATGAAATCTCGGCGGTCCCATGCCCACTTTTGTGGTCCCTTCGGATAAAGGCTCCTTCTCCATCCCTGGAGCCACCGTCGGCTCCCCTCCAGCGCACCCTGAGGATAGGATGGCTCGGAAGGAGCCTGCAGAGCAGAAAAACAGACACTTCCCTGAGTCACAGCGTTTTCCACGCTTGAATGCAAGGACAGACCAACACTCCCGACCTCTCCTTCCCGGACAGCTCCCAGGACGGATTTCTTATTTTGTCCCTGTAACAATCAGGCTGCATCCCAAATTCCCAGCTATCCCGCGGAGCTGGGGCCGGAGCTCTCGGCTGGCTGCAATCGTGAGGAAAGCCGGGAGAATCATTGCTAACCTTCCGGCTCTCGGTTGTGTTGTAAAAACCACGGGTACCTGTTCTGAGGCTCATTTTCTGAGACACACACAGCCTCCTCCCCCTGTCTGCACTCGGAACAGCGAGTGCTGTCCTCATCAGTCTGTTAAAAGCAAACATTCATTTCTCCCAGCAGTAACTCTGTGCTTACCAACCAACCGACCCTGAGCTACCCCAGACTTCCGGAGAAATCCTCCCAAATCCCGCAGGGACGGCCCTGTGGGGCGATCTCCGTCCTTCACACTCCGTCTTTCACTTTGTGCTCTCGGCTTTTCCAGGCGCGTCTCGATGCGGCGATTCCCAGCACATCCTTTGGAAAAGCTTTAAACCAGGGCGTATTCCCGAGCAACCGGGGCGTTTCTGCGGGCTCTCAGCCGGTGCCAACCCCGCAGCATCCCGCTGGTGTGACACTGGCGTGACACTGGTGTCTCACTGGTGTCCCCGCTCCGCCCAGCAGCAGCAATGCGGGCCGAGAGCGCCGCGGGGCGGCCAGAGCAGGAACTGCACCGGGGGTCTGCCCCGAGCCTCGGCTGGAATCTCCTCTCTCGCCTCCCGGCACATGCAAGGACGAATTCTGAAATGTATTTCCCACCTGGACTCTTTGGCACGTAAATGCGCTGCCTTGGTATTTGTTGAGACGTTTGGTTTGGCAGTAATAATCCAGGCAAACGTGAAACGTTCTACACAAACTTTCCATCAAGTGTGCTTGACAAAGACATGGGCAAATGTAGCAAACATTGCTCATATGCTGTGCACTACATTTTCCAGGAAATAAAGGCGTTTTCAAGCACAGGCTGTTTGTGGGAGGCTGAGTTTTGAATACTTTCTCTTTCAGAAGATCTCCAACAGCTGTCTGTCCTCTCCTAAGGTTAAGAACCAATTCAGTGTCAACAGCAGCATGAACTCATGCTGCCCCTTGGATCACCTGCAATAGATTTCCAAAGAATACCTTAAAGATGAGCCTATAGGTATTGCTGTGTGGCCAGATCTCCCCTTGTTTCAGTGACTCCTTTAAAGTCAGGGCTTCAGTGTTTTGATTGAGGCAGAAATGCTGCTGCTGCTCCTCAGACACAATGGAGAACATATTTCTCCCTAGGCAGGAGCATTTCCTTTCAAATGACACCAGTTCCTGAGTCCATATGCTGTAAAACCTTCCTGTGTACATTCCACCTTCAAAGGATAAAGGAAAATCTCCTGCTTCAAAAGTCTAAGTTCATGGATTTCCTCAGAGACATTTTGCATTCTCCAGTCTCCAAAGACTGTTTTAAATTCTGGACAGAAGATACCTGCCAGATTGACAGAGAGCAGGTTTAGATGAGACATTAACAAGAAATTCCTTACTGTGAGGATGGTGAAGCCCTGAGGTTGCCCAGAGAAGCTGTGGCTGCCCTGTCCCCGGCCAGGTTGGACCTGGGATAATGGAAGATGTCCCTGCCCATGGGAAGAGGTTGGAACAAGATGATCTTGAAGGTCCTTTCCAAAGCAAACCATTCTGTGATTCTCTGTGTGCTTAGATCTTTTCCATTCTTCAAAGGCAACACATTCTCTCCTTCCTCTCTATCCACGACAATCTCAGTACTTCTCATTTGGAAATGAATCCTCTCAGCTGCAACACTTTTCTACCAGGAATGCCTTTTGAAGGCAAGTATTTTCATCTTTGTAAATTTTTTGCTTGGTGGGATCCAATTTTTCCACCTTTTATCTCACTCCTAGGTCAAATATGCAGAAATTTTCTTCACGAATTCCTAAACCCAGGTGGGTTTTTTGTATCCTGAGGTCTCAAATGGTCAACAAATAATATTTCAGTTTCTAGAAGTTGTGGGGCAAGTGTCATCTACTGAGATAATTTTTTACTGTGTTCTTCTGTTCAATTTCTCTATGACTCCTTGCACAGTTTCCTGCAGTGGCTGTTTCAGTTGACTCAGAGGAGAAATTCAAATGGAAACTCACATGTTCAACAGCCAAGTAGCACAAGGTTTTCAGTTCAAGTTCACTGGGTAAATAACCTTGGTTTTCTCTGTGCTTTTCACAAAAAAAAAAAAAACAAAGAACAGGATGATTTTCTCAGCAATATTTGGAAAGCCTTAAAAAGGGGATGGAAGTGCCACACAGGCATCATGAACAAGGGCAAGAATCCTCCACAATCCAGGCTTGTGGAGAAATCTTTCTATGACTGGCTCGCCAAAGATAGGAATTAGAAGTGTTTGAACATTATAGTAAGAAAGTAAGAACCAGGCAGACCATGTGCTGTCCAGGGCAGAGAAACAGCACATTTTGTCTTAAAAGGACATGTCAGGAAAGAGTGGATGTGGGAAGAGGGTGGCTTTGGACAGGCTAATTTTGGAAATCTGTCTGATCATCTGGCAAGAAAACAGGGATTCAGCTGAGAAGCAAATTTGAAAGTGAAGGAGAGTGGGGGAGAGCAGAAGAAAGGGACAACCAGCAATAATTAGAGGTGGAAAAGATGCTATGCAAGAGGAACCAAGAGAGGCCAAACATGAAGCTGTTTGGCTGTCAAGGCTGACCAAGCAAGGTAAGGACAAAGAAACATGGGTAGGATCCATCCTGAGAACAGCTTAGAATGGGCTGGTTGATGTGACACCTGTAAGAAAGGAATCACAAAAAGCATTAAAGGGAAAGTGGGGTCCAATCAACTAAGTAAAAGGGTATTGGGAATTCTGTGGAGGAGTAGGAAGGGCAGGAAATTCAGTTTGATGTCAGAGCAGATGCATGGATCAGAAAGGACACAAAGGAGGAAGAAATAAATTAGTTAGGTAGGAGGAAGAAAGTGTGTATATGATCCTGTAAGCTTGCACTGGTCTTTCTCCAATTCTCAGTGTCCTGCTTAAGACTTAGATTTCCTCACTTCCACTTTTCTTCCTCAGAATGCCCTTCTTTCCAATGGGAGAGAAAAAAAAATTTCCGAAGGTAGCAGCAAAGCAAAAGGAACCCTTCTATCTCAGCCAGCGTAACAGGAAGTGCCCAGTACCCAACTTTCTGTCTCCTGGTGCCGCGTTTGGCCCTTCTGCAAGCCAGGCTGCAAATCCTGTACCCCATGGATGGCATGAACATACTGAGATGAGCTCTGGAAACCAGGGCACAGTGGTACCTGAAGGGAAGGTGAGTGGAGAAGGGATTCAAGCACAGCTTCATGGACAGCCTGGTCACTGCCTGAAAGGAAAGCAGGAGTTCTGAACTGAGATTTTTAAAGCAGACTTGTTTTGGTGTGGATTTTTCCCTTTTCACAAATGGGAGGGGCTGCTGGGATCTGTTCATGGAGCTTTATTTACAGCATCAGCCTCATGACATGGTTGAGACAGTAGGAAGATGGCAAAGCTCACGTACAGCCAGCAGCAGCCAAAGATTTCTTTTTTACAGAACATTTAAATAACTTTTTAGCCAATGGCATATTGCTAAAGCTTACAGACAGTTGGTTTAGCCAATTATTAAAAGCACACACACACCTGCTTCACACAAAGCTTGCTTGTCTGCTTTCTATTAACAATACACAAAACTCTAGTATTAAGCTTTAAACCTTCTACTACCTTGCTAAGCATATTTTTCTGCAGCCTTAAAGTTTATCTTTGCCAAGCCTAAGACTCAAGCTATAGTTCAATGCCCTTGCTTGCTGTACCATTGTAACTTTTTCTGCTCTCAGGTTTTGCAGCTGCAGCTAGCTCTAAATTTTCTGTCCTTTCTGTTTTTAAGGCCTGCTTTCCCAGCTTTCTGAAAATCTTACCTTTACTAATTCCCACAATGTCAGCATTCAGGAACATACAATCACAGAATGATTCTATGCAGGTGCTTTTATTGAAGAGCTCTGGGTGTCTGGGGCACAGACCCAAATCTGACTCTGACACGGGTTCGGGACGAACACATTTTTATACCCTTATTGTTATATAACTACCTATTAATTATTAAACTGATATTGTTCTATTGTATACATTGATTTCATCCAAGCATGGTTTTTGTAATTTCCATCAACCCCCCAAACATTGTTTCTCATGATTCTTGTTACAATTAAACAATAATTATATCCAATTACCAAACAATCATCACATTTAACAATCATATCATTTATCATAGTAATCAAATGATATACAAATGCAGCCTAACATTTTTCCAGGGCCTACCTTAGCATTTTCCCAGGGCCTACCAGGCCTACCCTTCCTTTCTAACTCCCCTGAATATTCCATGATTTTAGAAATATTTTATCCCTATACTATCAACAAGACAGAGATCAAGGGAGTGATGATGTTTGCTCATGGCACGGGTGAACGCAGATGGACCAACACCAAGGGCCTCACCCCTCAATTCATGTCTAGAGCTTCTGAAGGCACTGGGACCTGTTCAGCTGTTAAATAAGTGGCCAACGCTTTTTCTAAACCACACTCAGCTGAGTGGCAAGAGCTGTGTAACCCCAGCATAAGGGAAATCTGGTTTATGTTTTACTGAAACAGCGGAGATGTCCCTTTTTGGTAGGATAGTTGGGAAAGCAAAGGGCTTTGGGGCCCTCAGTTTAACTTCCTTTGGCCTCAGCTGCAGATCACTTTCTCCCACATGATTCCAGCAGCAAATGCAAACCAGGCACTGTCTGGGATCACAGGATGGTCCTTGGGCCTCTGACACAGCTAAACCATCCCCCAGAATACAGAGAGACCACTGAACTACCTGGGCCCTTGTTCACACAAAGCAGTGAAGTTTAGACTCTTGTTATCGCACTTGTATCTTGTATTTTATTTTATTTTTAAATACTTTTGTATCTTGACAAAGCTGAGCAGTGAATACCCATCTTTCTTTTGGATGATCCTTTGACGTACTCATTACTTTTGACCAACCATATATAGACACCCTGAAAGAAAAGAGACTTACAGGAAAAAAAAAGAGGCTCACAGAAAAGAAAACATCCATTCTGTAAGCAGAAATCCAGAGTTTATTCACTGTTTAGGCAACAGATAGGTTCTCATACCTGTATCACATGTTCTAAAGTGGAGGACATACTGATAAAGACAAACTGAAAATCAATTTCAAGACAGAGTCACAAACACTGTTCCTAATGAAAAATTATAAAGGTAAACAGATACAAACCAAACACTTTTAGAAGGTACCACTGAAAGTGCATTACAGCTAATTTATTTTCCAAAGAATTTATATCTGGAGAGGTGAAACACAATCCTGATGTCATAATATTCCTACTTCCAGGTTCATACAGTTGAGAGGGGAAAAAAATGTATTTTTATATTAAAACCCCGAGATTGCGTCAGTGATGGGGAGGGCTAATAGAAAACAGCCAGTAGTGCTTGTATATCTGTCATATATAAAATTATTACCACCTTTGCTTAGTCAGGCTTGATCAGATGAGACTTGGGCGCTCCTTGGCATCACTTAAATGCAGTTTATTGACCAGCAGCAAGTTGCTTCTTGCCCTGGGAACGGCAGAGGCGGTGGGGTCGAATCCAGCAGCTGCAATTCGCACATTTTCCCACCAGATAGCAGCCGCCACAAAGGAAAAACCCAGCGGAAAAGATGCAAGTCACGGGGAGGAGCAGCGGGGCTGGACCAGGAACAGCCGGGCTCGGCAGCATCGCGGGGCCGG